AGAGAGAGAGAGAGAGAGATAGATAGGTAGATAGGTAGATAGGTCGATAGGTAGATAGGTAATTAGATGAAAGAGAGAAAGAGAGAGATGGATAGCTAGATAGATAGATAGATAGATACATAGAAGATAGATAGGTAGGTAGATAGTCAGAGAAAGAGAGAGCCCGAGAGGAGACCTCAAGCACCTTTCGGTCCATCAGTGGATTCGCTTTGCCATCCCTGATTCACAACAACCAACCTCTCCTATAGGTTTCCTATTTTTGAAACTTCCGCCACCGCCTTGTGCGGTACTACTGGTATAATAGCCTTGAAACCGCCGTCCATGCTGCCCGATCTGCATCCAGAATCTCAGACAAAGATGGAGGCCTCAAATGTTGATCACGTGGCTTAGCGAGCTCCATGAGCTTCCAATGAAACCTCTTGACCACAATCAGATGTGCAAACCCTAGCAGCAGCATGGCAAGCGCCACAGTCATCAAATTCTGGAACTTGCTGATGACCACCTCCGTGGGAGCTTGGTGGTTGACCACTTCGGGTTGATCAGCCAATACCGCCTCACCTTCAGATGAGAGGGATCGCAACAGCTGCCGATCATTGCGGGGGCGACGATGTTCCAAAAAGAATTGTTCGTCTGCTTCTGATGTGCGACTCTTCCAGGGAATCGATGTGAAGTTGTTGGTTTCAATGGCTTCCTTCAATAGGCTGAAGAAAGACAGCGATGGCATCGTAGAGAGCAGCAGTAACTCACCTGGGTAGTTCTGACAGAACTCCGTCCACAATGACTTCACGTCAGCAATGGACAATCGCGTTTTAGCCACTGGAGTTGCTGCCGGTTCCACCACACTGAGTCACGGCCAAAGATCACACATTGGCAATGCACCTCCTCATGGCCGCAGATTGGGAGAAAATGTTTGGACTTCCCATGGGACCAAACTGAAGTATTCCACAAACTCTTCCATCTTTGATTCATCGCGTACCCCAATGCATGGGCAGGAGCGCAATAGTTGTGTAGCCCGCACTATATGTTCGATCTGAATTGATGGCATCGAATAGACTGGGTCATCAATTGCGACCTGTGAAGACCCCATGACTGCACACCCCACCGACACTTGGGCGGCAGCAAATGGCCAGGTGAACTGTCAAAGAAAAACTGACATCCTCTAGACAATGGTGATTGGAAAGATTGAAACACCAACAGAAACATCCTTGATTTTAAACTATTACTTGGAATACCCAGCGGGACTATAGAGCCAAAACCTGCAGGATCAGCAATCATGAACCAAGCGTGGTCAATGTGAAGTCAGAGAAGGTGACCTTTGGTCATTGGCACATGTGATGTCGCACGCCGGAGCCTTTTTAACGATCAAGTGCTGTGCAAGATCAGGCTCCCGCTGATGCCGTATCGGCAGCTGCAATGGTCTCAGTCAGAGGTTCCCCAGCACGACCACCAGCGCCAATGCGCACTGACGTGATCAGATCAGAGATCAACGCCCGCAAATGCTGAAAACCAGACGGTCTTCCGGAGAGATCAATGCGGAGTCAGCCGTTGTCCAGTCTGTAACAACGCAACACGTGTGCTTGTTCCACTACTAGGGCCAAGGTGAATGTCATCCATGGCTGTCGAATGAAGCGCGGCCGATCCGGGCTACACAAAAAACGAAACACACACACACACACACAACAGAACAAAACAACTGGAGTGTAAGCGTTCTGATATGAGCACTCTCTCAACGGAGTTGATAGGCTCGATACGTTTGCAACTATGCCACAACTTTGATGACAACGGCAATCTAAGTTCCTGAGAACAAAAACCTGAGAATTCACTCAGTGAAGTCTTCACTGAAAAACAGTACCTGACAATTGAATGTCCCTGAATCCGCTGTGAACCATGCAGCGCATCCAAACCCTGTCTTAAGAAACTCTTGCATCCTTGAGTGGTGATGCAGAAACCTCACCAATTTCCTTCAGCAAAATCACCACTTGGTTTTAGATGCGAGATTCTGCCGTTTTGAAGTTTTCGGTTGGGCCACTGGATGCTTTCTCTTCTCTTCTTTCCAACCCTGGACCTCCTCTCTGAAGGCTAACAGCCCTTGAATCATCGTCCAGTCCAGCTGCTTCCAGCTGACCTTACAGCCGTGCTCCAATGAGAATTTTTCGGGAGACGGCATCTCTCGTTCTGGAGCAGTGTACAAGCTATCAATCCACAAATGCGTGCGTTGCAATCAATTGTATTCGATGCGATCGAGTTGACACTGGTTGCGAGCTCACCCGCATTGGTACAGACTTGCGAGCGTTCAATTCTTTTGACAGGGATCAGTTCTATCATCGAAATGTTCAGCAGAGGTTCTGGACGGGCAACTTGCGTCAGCTGTGTTGAAGTCCTCTGTAGGGTGGGGTTGCACACTTGCTAGCATAAGCTGTAGCTGTTTGCTGAAGTATAACCTATGCCAGGTGGCGATTCAACACCAATGTATCGGAACCTGAGCCAAATGGCGAATTTTGATGAGAACCCGAATTGGCGTAGGCCCTATTAACAACTGCAAAGCCTGAGTATGCAGTCGCCGTACAGTCTCAAATAATTAGTGGATTTCTGCCCCGGTACAGTCGATTATACCGCTACATCATCAATACTAGCCTCCTACACCATTCGTTATTCCCAGAATGCAGCCCGTGCAGACGGTGTCTACTCCCAGGGGTACCCAGGGTATGGCCCACGTCACGCAGACCATACAAAGCGACGACGGTACTAAGCATCACTAGATGTACCGCAACATTTTACCAGTATCAGATGAGAACCAATGTCAGCAGTTGTCAAGTGGGCTCGAACAGCATGTCTCCGCCTTCCTCGTAGGACAGATAATCAGGTGCTCCTGCACTTGAGCCTAGTAGCTTGCGTCGCTTATTCCCTGCTAGGCACTGTGTAAGGAGTTTTTAGGCTTGCTTTTTCATCACCAGCCCTATGATAAATGAAGACTCGAGTACAAAATACCAACCAAACCCTATGGAAAGCTTTGACAGATTGGCGGAAGCCACACGCACAGTCTCAGACAAGCCATCGATAACCTGTCTAAGTTCGATTGAGGGCACATGTGCCCACATAGAACAAGCTACGTCCCAACCCAGCCAACGGCACTACCTCAACTAGTCGTGGCAACGGCATTAAAGTTTTGGGATAGCTAGAGAAGTTCCCAGTCCTCCCATGACAACCTGTGAACACAGACCATGTTTTGCCTCTCCTACGATGGGTCCTTCATGCCAATACAGTCGCATAAGGCGGCTCGCCTGGCTCCACATATCCGATATAACTGATGCGTAGCTGATTAGGATTGCTTGCTGTCCCCGGTTCGGCCTCAGCTGGAACTGATCGGCGAGCGGAACCCATCAGTTTTTACCACCAAGCCAAATTACTTCCCTATTTATACTCATGTCTCATGACATAGGACTTGGCTGCTAGCCCCGGCACATGGGCAAGGGCATCATGACATAGGAGTTGGGGAAGGCTACAATGAATTCGACCCATGAGATGGGACTAGGGTTTGATTTTTCACCTAAATTTTAGGTTATTATATACCAATATTTGCAAGGTAGTACCCATATGACATAGGACTTGCCATGTGACGAGTCCTGGGACATGTGTGTTCAATTTTTTCATGTGCCGGCACAAGAGCCAGATGAAAAAAATGTATATATTTCTTTATGAACATAATACATATCAGGTAACCTCATGACTCAGGACTTGGGTGACCAAGGTACTCCTATGACATGTTAGCTGTGGTAGTGACAAAACAATCAGATACTGCGCAACCACATGTCTCAGGACTTGTGGGTATATGTCTGAGAACTTGTTTTAAATGATAGCACTCACCTCATGTCTGAGGACTTGCGGACGTTTTTTTTTCCTCCCACATCCGTTCTTTTCGGATCACTCGAGCTTCTTCAAATCTTCCAATTGCTTTTTGAAAGACTCTGCATCTGCTAAATCAGGATGCTCTGCAAGATGTAATTTTATTACATGACGAATGCATCGCACCAGACTTGTTCTGCGACTGGTAAACTCATTCCAAGATGACGATTTTGACCCTTGGTTGGGATACCTTGTCGACCAAAAATTCTTGGACGGATGACGGTTCACCGTGCATCCAACCACAGGCGGAAGCCTGGTAAGATAACATGAATTCTGGAGCTCCAACTCGCGAAGTTCCATCCACTCAGGACTCATGTGGAATGCTTTTGGATGCCCTTGCTTCACTTCCAGCGAAGCGGCACCTTCAGTATCCACCATATCTTCAGTTTCCTTGTCCTGGCATGCAGCTGAACTAGAAGGCACTGGTGGCCCATCAAATCCTGAATCATTGTCACTGTCGTTCTCTTCATCCTCCATGTCTTCCATATCAGAACTGGAACTGCCGACATAATCATAGTGCACCTGATTCTCAGCGAGCACATCAGGAGGAGGTATCATGCCGTTGATCTCATTTTCATCAGCAGACTCGTCATCATTGTCATTGTCGGATCCATCTTCTTCTCCTGCCAAATGAGCAAGTCCTATCTCATCATGTGGCCTGCCTTTCTTGAAAAAACCATTTATTATTATATAATTTAGTATTACTTACTCATAAAAAACATCAGATTCTAAAGTATTTCCTGCAAGTCCTAAGTCATCATGCTTCTGAACTTATTTTTATATTCGTAAGTATTGTTAGTTTGATTGTTTCAATACGATCCTGTCCTGACTCAATCTCATCATCACCAGCATATGCTTGCTTCAAAAGATCCCATCCGCTTGGAGCCTCCGAACTTTTGACACAGCACAATCGTGATCGCTCGAAGTTTGCACTGCTCAGATAGTAGCATCTCAAGCCTTCCGGACTGTCGCCTGCATCTGGATTCAACTCGAAATTGATTCGGATGATCTCATAGCCCTTGGCATTGCCTATGACTTGAAGACAACCATCAATGATGGTGGTTCGGGTCTTCATGAACTTGGTTGTTGCCATACAACCAGCTTTCCGGTTGTACACGAAAGCCATTTCTGCATCATTGATCTTGATGAGCTTGTTCACCCAACCTTGCGGTTTCTTTTCAACCAATGACTTTCTTTTCTTTCGATGTGAACAAATGTGCTTCTCCACCTGCAAGGCCACCATGTTGGGCAGCAACGCATATTTGTCATCTGATGTGATGATGGCCCAAAACCACCTGCGCAGTGCCGTCATGACATGGGACTTGTGGGTGTGCAACAACAAAACAAAATTATTATATATATAACAATAAAATGGATCGAACACCTGATGACATGGGACTTGCCGATCATAGATATATAAATATGTCATATCTTAAAACATTTCTGCAGCGCAACATATCGCTCCACCTGTTGGTATCCAAGCTTTGAACAATCTGGTCAGAAGGGATGCCCATCTTGACCAACATGCCAGATGGATCTAGTAGTGCAATTGCTTCATCTCGCTCCATGCCGTCCTCAACAAAGTGTTCTCGAGTAAAGTATCCAGTAGCAATCCAAGCTGCAATAAATGCACGTCTCGGCCTGAGCGACAGCAGTGACAATATTGAATATTTCTACATATTTATATATATATATATATATATTTATAAAATACAACATATGTATTATTTGTATATAGAAAAAAAGCACATTACTATTGCAAAATGTGTGTCACAGACTTTTGAATAACACAACAAAACTAAGAACCGAACATTGACAACCAGGCGTGAACTGTTCGAAAAGGCAACGTTTCATTGGAAGCTTTCGGGCGTTGTGGCTGACCGTTTGCTCGAATTGCCATGCTCGAATAGCCTAAGAGATGCACAAGTCCCAGGTCATCAGGGCTGAAGTTTAAACTTAAAGTAAAACCAAATAACTAGTTTCAATCACTATCGCTAGCAAGTCCCAAGTCATCATGGCCCACCTCTTGTGTGACAAAAAACAAACAAAAAAGAAATTGCAAGCAAATAACTTGACCGCTGAGCCATATCAGCATTGCACCCCACGCTGTCACTATCTGTCAGTTCAAGTCGCGACCTCAGCAAATGATGCACCTGATCTACAGGCTGAGCATTTGCTGAAAATCCTCCTGGTTGTAGCTCTGGAAGAAATACACCATGTTGTTGACTCCAAGCTTCACGAGATGTCTCGGTGTCTTGCCCATGGAAGCCAGTCCATCCGTCGGCCAAAAGCAAACCTTTGTTGTCATCAGTGAGATTCCACTTGGCACGCTGCTTTTTGAAGGCTGCGCCAATGAGGTTGTGAAGCACATCCATCAAGCTCTGCCCATTCATGAAATGACTTTTACTCTGGGAAGAGAAAGTGTAGCATTGTCCATGAAACTGCTGGTTGAAGTTCTGGATGGCCTCCTCATTCATGAATGACTCAGGGATACATATCCCCAAAGGTCCTGCTGTGCCGTCGCTCCAAGTTGATGTCAAGCATGTCAGCGATTGTCGTGCTGCCGGAAAGTAATCGGAACGAGCAATTTTGTGGCCATGCTGTTTCGATCCTTAAGTGGCAAACCCTATGACCTGGGACTTGGCGCAAAAGGCATTCACAACTATACTATATTACTATATTTTTCACATATAAGCTTGTTACTTTAATGATATATATATATAAGCGCTTTGCTATAATGATTCTACTCTGGAAAATATGTTTGAGTTATTCAAATATGCACTTTCACTTCATCAACCTGGCCAGACACATGATGACTTGGGACTTGGTGACTACCAACGAACGCTAAATAAATTCACAATAGGAACGCCCTACCTGCTCGGTGTTCATCAGATGTTTCGAAAACAGTTGGCAAAACAAACATAAATAACAAAGTCAATAAAACCAATAAACAAAACGATAACACCCTCCATCAGAGGTATCGGCGGCCTGCAAACATAGTTATATCTATATGATATTTTGCTAATGTACATAGTTATTTTGTTAAAAACACACATATATATATACATATATGTATAAATGCACTGACAAGATTCTGCACTTTCCTTTCTGATAGATGGTTTTCGAGAATCTCAGCGCCTGCCTCCACACTTGATCGATATTGAGCACGAGATTTGCATTGACATTGTCCTTCTCGATTCTCTCTCTGACCGCGTTTCGTGCAGCAGCGAGGCGTGGGTCAGACCATTCCTCAGCAATCACATGGGATCCGACACGCCACATGACATAGGACTTGTCTCCCAACGACAAATATACTTATATATATATATATAGTGAAAACAAAAACTATTTTTCGAAAATATTTGTATGCAACCAAAGTGCTAAATAATTTCCTGCTGTATTTCTTGCAACTTTTCGCCAATCAAATGCTTTGAGAAACTTGGAGCACCAACGGGAGTTCAACTTCTCTGGGCACTTGTATGGCAGTTCCAAAAGACTCTTCCTGATGTCCTGGCCATTTGAACCTGCATTGATCATCTCATCTCTGACTTTGTTGTTGTGCTCCTCTACTGCGGCAATTGCTGGTTCCAAGCCAATGTTGTAGTTCTTGGCAATGCGACGCACGATGACAACCTGCAGCGGAAAGAAACTAGTGAAATGCAAAAATTGTTCATAATTTAAAAAAATCAAAAATTGTATTCATCATCATCAGCATCATTGTCAGCATCATCACCATTCTCAATCATAAAGTCAGTGTCAAAGCTAAGTAATCATGCAAGCGACGCAATGTCTGACGAAAATGATATCACGTCGCTGGCATACCAGAGATTTTCCTTCTGCAAACTCAATCATGGCCTCGTTCAGTTCCTGCAGGCACCCCTAGTCCCAGGTCATAAACCCCCTTGTAGAAATACAAAACTATAGTAATATTGCATGTAGTTCATATGTTGTATATGTAATGCTTTTTTTTTGCTTTTTGCTATATATATTCAAGCTCAACGAGTGAAAACATGTTGAATTCAACCCACCTAGTCCCAAGTCATAATGTTTTGCATTCCTGTCCTGCAGAACTGGAGCTGGCACACGCCACCGTTGCAAATTGCGACCAGCTTTGATTTCCACTTCAGCTCTTTTTGACCCTAACGACTTCCACCCTTTCACAGAAGATTCATTTCCCAAGCTAACCTTCAGTGCATCAGACATTTGGTACGTTGATTTCTGCTGTATTTCTGTAAGCTCTTCCCATTTTTGTTTGCGGGCAGCCTTCCTCAACTGACACACTTTGATGTTTCCGAGAATGTTCCCAAACTTGGCTTTACAAGCGCTTTGTATGTTTACACCTTTCTGCCAATCACGAATCCTGGCACCAATGTGTTTTTTTGATGCTGGTTTTTCAACTTTGTCATCAGCTTGCTTTCGGGATTCGGCTATGAGTGCATCAGCATAGCGCACAATCTCCAACTTTTGGAAGATAGTCAGTCTTTGGCAAGCCGGCTTCATGTCCTGAAACACATGGGTGTTCAACAGCGCACTATGACCTAGGACTTGCTGCAACGATACTTTAACTTTAACAAACAATCATACTGCTGAAACACGTTGGTGCTCGACATCGCACTATGACCTAGGACTTGCTGCAGGAATATTTCAACAAATAGTCATACTTACAACATTGTATCCGTCCTCTTTTTTCCATATTCTGTCTTGCTCTCGAATCTTCCTTGGATTTTTGACTTTGTTTCGCATCCTGCTGCGAAAGTTTCGCTTGGACAGCTTCTCTTCTTTCGATGCCTCAGCCTTGTCATAAGTTTTCATGGCTTTCAAAGTCAACTCCTTTCTGCGCTTCATTGTCTCAGTCAAACCTTTGTATGACTTTTGTGCACGATTCAATTTGTTCTGATGTTTTGTAGCAACCTCTTGCGAGTCTTTGAGTAAGAAGAAGCCATGCTGCAAAAAAGATGTCAAAGGAAACTCCTGTTGCAAAAGCTGATCATCGTCAAACTGCTCGGAAAGGTTCGTCTCTTTGGCAATTTTCCTAGCAATGGTGCTGAAAATCTGCTGATCGTCGACCTGAATCTGAGCAGCCAAAGCGTTTGCAGTCATTGTTTCATTTCTTTGAAGCCCAGGCAAAGCCATCAAACCCTGAGTAAACTTTTGTATTTGAGCAGCATTGTGATGTGCACCGGCAAGATCAGAATGAATGGTTCCAAGCTGATCCTCTATCTTGGCTTGCTTTGCTTTTCCTGAAGAACATGGCATTCAATCAATAAACAAACTAACATAGGCACATTATATATATAAGCCCAAGTTTCTAGATTCAAACGTTGCATTTGCCATATCCATACTCTGCTGAGCAGTTTCGGAAGCTGCTTGGATCATTTGCACAGCGTTGGTAGATGCCATATTTTGCAGTTCCGAAGCCTTTCTCTTCATTCCTTTCCTTAAAAATCGAAAACAAAAAAGTGCATAGTTTGTTGATTCAAAAAAAAACTGTACAAGCAAGTAAGACGTACGATGTGATTTTTGGCAAGAAAATCACTGTCAACTAAAAATAATATTCTACAATCATACAAGGTTCTGGTCATCTGGCAAGTACCGAAAGCCATGCAGCAATGTGGCAAACTTTCCTTTTGTCACCACAGACACCTCACAGGAGAAAGTGTTTGACTTTAATGTTTATTTTTTTTCTAATCACAATGCCCACTGCTCACATGACATAGGACTTGGGCCCCCACTTCTGCTTCGCCAAAGTTGAGGAACTCTTTCACAGTCCACTGCTGAGGCTTCGTAAGATTCGTTGGAATGCTGGCAGACACCCGTCCAATATACACATCATGTGTATTTCCTTCAAACATTTCAGAAACAAATTGAGTAACATCAAGGGGATTGCTATCTTGTAGAAGAACTCCCCAAACACTAAGCTCGCCAATGTCTTCTTGGATGATCTCAGGTGTGAACATGTCACTGGGCCCCATGAGCACACGTTTGACACATTGCCGGCCCAGTTTTTTCCTCTTCACGTATGACAAACCTCAGCAAGCTTTAGTAGCTAGTGATAATGTGAAAGTAACAAAACAAACGGATGCACAAACAACGAAACACATGACCTGGGACTTGTGTGTAAGTTTATATGCCAAGCAACTGGAAAACAGTACTGCCACCTGGTTCTGTAGTTCTTCTTGAAACCCCTGTAAGATCTTCACAAGCGCTGCCACTGGCAAAACACCTTGCACACCTGTCTCAAAGAGTTGAACATGAGTATCTTCCTTTGTGTCGAGTTTCGGTCCTTCATCAATGTTCGCAAAGAAACTTGTTTTGTCATCAACATTGGCAGATGTCAGTGTCACAGTGGATCTTCCAAAGAGCATTGGTTCGTCCGATGAACCACCTCCTGATGCAGCTCCTCCAGCATCTGCCGGAGCCTCCATTGGAGCTGAAGCTGACGCTGGATTGGACGAAGCAGAAGCTGGCTCGGGCGGAGCTGACGGAGCTGGCTGAACCATGTCTTGAATTTTTTGGTGAATTTCCTTACATCTTTGGCGCATCCAATGACCAAGGAGTCTGTCTTTTACTTGTTCAGTTGTACCATACTTTGCAAGGCCTGCTTCTCCGGCTTTGTCACAGAGGTTCTTCCTCGGCTCAAG